GGCGCTGAAGTCGCCATAGCCAATTGAGAGTGAACTCGTATCTGAAAGCCATATCTCTGAGTTTTGAGTGGGCGCATGTCGCCAGTATGCTGCGTTGCTGTTTACATGCATGAAAAGTGTGTTTGAGAACGAGTATGATTGCACTACGACCTTGACCCTTCAGGACTGTAGCAGCTACGACCTTGACCCTTCAGAAGTTCTACAGCTACGACTTCTAGAACTCCCTAAGACTTCTACTCGCCAGGTCTACAGATCGAACCCCTGCTACCTAAGGACCGTACGACAGTCTACCAACTGTTACAAATACACAGGTCACAGGTTCAACTCTCGGTGTCGACACAAATACTGTACACGGGTAAGGTGATGACTAGGGATCGAGCCCTGGGATCTGCATCGGCTACTGCGAACAGGTGAATACCGTTTCAGATCGCTTTATGACAAACATATTCAGAGAACATAGCAAACAAAAGTCTGAATCGGAATCTTTAGCAAAAACGTCAACGGGACAACGGACAACAGGATTTTCGTATAAAAGTTTACAGTTGCAATCAGACTCGTTCTCATTCACACTTTACATGCATGCAAACAGTAGCGCAGCAAACTGGCGACATGCGCCCACTCAGTACTCAGAGATATGGCAACCCAGATACGAGTTCACTTCCAATGGCTATGGCGACACAGCGCCCAAAACAACTCTCTGTTCACATACACTGGATCACCCTGGATATCCCACACGCGTCTCTCTGAACACACACGCACACACACACACTGAACACTAACTACAGCTATGGCGGCTATGGCCGCTGCTAACCTATCGCTATGACTGCTAACTCTCCTTCAAGCCCACTTCGTCTTCGGGCATACTGCAGACCTGCTTGCACAAGTCGCTGTGGCAGCGCTTCCGCATGGCTCACGCAGGAATGAATGAATGGCTGGGCACTGCCTCTTGATTTATACTTCTGAAGCTCGTTGGTCTGCCCCTTTCCATCGGCCCATGGTGCACACGGTCCCTCACGGTACTTGCTGGACTGGACTGGGACTGACTGGACCGTACCGCTGACTGCATGGGGACGCCCTGCCAACTTACCGCTATCGTACTGCGAACGTACTGCAGTTGGTCCACCACTTGCCCACTTGCCTCAGTCTAAAACGTGAGCAAGCTTCGAAAGGCCACTTCCGGACCTTCCGGAAGTCTGTGGACTTGGCCCTTTGGGACTGTAGCAGCTACGGCCTTGACCTTTCAGGACTGTAGCAGCTACGACCTTGACCCTTCTGGACATCTACAGCTACGACATCTAGAACCTGCTAAGACCTCTATCTCACAGGTCTACAGATCGAACCCCTGCTACCTACGGACCCTACGACAGTCTACCAACTGTTACAATTACACAGGTCGTGGGTTCAACTCTTGGGGTTGACACAGATACTGTACACAGGTAGGGTAAGGGCTAGGGATCGAGCCCTGGGATCTGCATCTGCTACTGCAAAAGGTGAAAACCGTTTCACAGTTCTTGCACAGCACAAAAAAAAAACGATGCTGCAAAGGTATCGGCTTCCCAAACAAAACAGTCGCAGATAAAGAGACAAAAAAGGTTCGGTGGTATTCCCTCCTATTTCTTGCACGAGGATTTCTGTCTGCTCTCAGGCTCTTCTTTTTGTTTTTGTATAGGGCAGTTCCTTATGTTTTTAGTTTTCTGTTTTTGCGGGCGAAGCCGCAACGGGTCATCTAGTATAGATGTAATGACAGAAACAGGCCACTCCAAATGCACTCACCCTAAAAGGACGGCCAGGTGCACAGAGTACTCCTAGCCTGCTCTGACCCGAAGGGGGGTACAACTTTAGTGGTCTGTTTGTGTCAAATGTTCCCAATGTGGCCTATTTTTGTCATTTCCCCTCTTTTTCTGATCCCCAAAAGAAATAAAAGAGAAAAGGAGAAGCTTGCAACAATGTCCTGCATTTGTGTGTGTCTTTTTTTTTTTTTTTTTTTTTCCTGTTGCAATGTAATCACCATCCATCGACTCATTTCATGTTGACAGAGTTTCTCAAATTGTGTACTTGGCACTGCTTCCTTGATTAATGGCTTTATTTTTTTTTTTTTTGATGATTGGTTGTTGAATGGGCCTCCTTTTTTGCTTTTTTTTTTTTTTTTAAGGACCCCCCCCCCCCCCCCCTCCCTCCGCGAAAAAAAAAAGAGAAAAGGAGAAGGTAGTGATAATTTCCTGTATTTATGGTTTATGATCCCCCCCCTCCCCCCTCCCCCCTCCTTTTGCAATGTAATTGTCATCCATTCAGTCATTCCATGTCAATGGTATTTCTCCAATTGCGTGTTTGCTTGCTTGCTTGATGATTGGTTGTTGAATGGAGTGCCTGAGTGACATTGATTGATTGATTGATTGATTGATTGATTGAGTTGGATGGACTGCCTGCGTGGCATTGATGCATTGATTGATTGAATTGAATGGACTGTCTGCGTGGACCATTAAGTGATTGATTGATTTGAATGGACTGCCTGCATGGGATTGATTGATTGATTGATGATTGATTGATGATTGCTTGGTGATTGATTGATAATTGATTGATAATTGATTCATGATTGGTTGTTGAATGGCATTGATTGATTGATTGATGATTGGTTGTTGAATTGACTGCCTGCTTGGCATTGCTTTATGATGATTGAGTTGAATGGACTGCCTGCCCGGGATTGTTTATAGGTGCTGGCATTGAATCCGGCGAACAAGAAGGCGGCATTGCAGAGGGCTGCTTGTCAGAATCTTAAAGGCAATCTGGGAAACTTAGAGCTAGCAATCAATGATTATGAGCTGGCATTGAAGGCCGACGAAGACAAGAGCAGCAAGGTATCCTCTTTCCTAAACAGGAGAGCCCGTGATGGGTCATCAACAGCTGGTGGGTCGGGTTCCAGGTCTTCTGCTGCAGCTGCTAGCCAGACTTCCAGTTTTGGTCCAACCTCTGCTTCGGCAACCTTGTCCAGGTCCCGAAGCAAGGGTCGATCTCAAGGGGGAGGAGCCCCCTCATCGTCTTCGTCAGCTTCGATTTCCCGACAATCTTCTTTCACCTTCACGTCACCTCAGTCATCCACCATAGCCACTGGCAGAGTCCAGTCCTCACAGCCAAGCAGCAAAGACTCAGCAGAAGCAGCCGCAGCAGGAGGAGGAGGGGGTTCACAGCCATCACCAGTTGGGCCGGTATTAGTGGACACGAACGACTTTCGAACACAGTCAGGTAGAAGTTTGCGAAAGTCAGAGGTCAGGTTTGACAAGAGAGAACAGAGGTCTGCAGAGGTCCAGCTCGCAGCTTCTACCGGTGGAGGTGGTGGTGCTGTCGTGGCAGCAGGTGGTGATGGGGGTTGTGCCGGCTCGCAGATGACGGCTGCTGCTGTTGCACAAAGGCGAAGCACGAGCGGGCTAGGCCCAGCGGTGTCGGGATCGGAACAGGAGGAGGAGGAGAGGGAGGAGGATATGAAAGCGGCGAGAGAACATGAAACGTCCACTCATCGACTAAGCAATCGCATGAAAGAACTTGAGGATATGGGAGGTGATGGGCTCCCCTTCTCTCCCTCTTCGGGTAGAGGGGGCTTGGTGGAGGGTGATGGAGCTGGTGCAGCTGCTGTAGAAGGGGACCGAACACAAGTCATTCCTTCTGCCGGCAGATCTGGTTCGTTTACCGAGTCTCAGCAACGGAAGAATGGCCATGCCACGGAGCCTTCCACCTCGTTCTCTTCAACTGGGATGCCAATTACCCCTCCAACGGCGACTGCTGACTTTTTCCATGGGCGTGGGTTTGCTCATCGTAAAGCATCCAATTTCCTGGCAGCAATTGAAGATTACACAAGAGCGATTGAGAAGGACCCCAATCATTTCAAGGCTCTCTTCAACCGGGGTTTCTCGTATGACAAGGTCCTCTTCCCCCCGTTTCTTCTCTGACAAACCAAGAGAGTGATTGAGAAGGATACAAATTATTTCAAGGCTCTCTTCAACCACTTCTTTTCATATGTGTTTTTGTTTCCTGATAAGTTCATTGAGCTTGTTTTTTTTCCTGAATGTGAAAAGAAGAAGAAGAAGAAGAAGAAGAAGAAGAAGAAGAAGAAGGCCTGTACCAGTTACGAATCTTCTTGTGGCCTGTTTCCTGATAAGTTCATTGACCTTGTTTTTTTTCCTGAATGTGAAAAGTGTGAGGAATGAGCCCTCGTGGGGCCCTTATCAGACATACAAGTGTTCTGGGCTGCGGCCCCTAGCAAGCTCGTGCCCGCCCTAAGTGAAGGCGGGCCTGAAAATCCACGTGAGGCCTGTTTCCGACATTTTTCCATATGTGGGTACTCAGACAGTTGCAGTTTGCCAGTTGGTTACGAAGCAACGTGAGCCTCCAGGCTCTTCCAGAAGTAAAAGGGCTGCGCTGTACAGTTGAGCGCAGGGCTCAGGTGGTTGCGCCCTGGGCACACGCTGCATGAGGCCAGCACATCACGGACTGGTCACGGGCCGTGAGGAAGCAGCATTGTCGTCACACATGTGCCGCGAGCCAATGAGAATGCTGCAAAGACTTGGATGGCAGTTTCGGTGAAAAATTCGCCGAAAATAGCACCACCCATTAACCACGAGTGACTGCACGAGGCCCAGGCCAGGATCTGAAACTGGGCCTGGGCATAGACACTTGGGGCCAGAGGCAAGCTAGTGGGCCCCCCACACGCCTGGTCAGGCCAGCCAGCAGCGGACACTTTCCGTATAGGAAAGTGTGTGCCCCCTGCTGAGGCATTCGGGCCTTGGCAGGCAATGCGGACACGCTGCTGTGTTGCTGCGCTAGTGTCTGCATGGGCGCTGCCGGTCGAACGCGCGCACAGGCGCTGAGGTGAAGGGCGCTGCTGAGGCAGTGGGCGCACAGCAGCCATAGCCGGGCTGCAGGGGCGCAGGCAGATTATGGCGATGGTGGTCTTCGTGTAGGATGCGCAAAAAGTGGGGAGTCGATGGCTGATGAGGGGAGGAGAGAGAACGTACCTGGTCTATGCTGGTGGTCGGCATTGGTGGTGACTTCACGTACATTAGTCTTCGACTTCAGTGTGATCCAGTTGCATGAACGTAGGTAGGACAGATAGGCTGAGTAGAGTAGGCTGGGCGCCCGGCGCCAGACAGTAGGAGCGACATTGGATACAGTGTTGGTGTGACCAGGAAGTGTCGGCATTGGCACTAGAGTTCATTATATTGCTCTTATTTGGATGGAATCTTGGTGCATTGTGGTCTCTGCTTGGTACATGACTATCTGCACTACTTCGTGATTTTGCAACTTGGTTTTCTGTCTATTGCTCTCGCTCATATTCCATGCAATTTTGGTATCAGAGCTGGTTTGAGATCGCCGTTACTGGCGCTGGCGACATTGTTACTTGGTGCACTGACAAAGCTTCTACGCAGTGAGGATACATTGGCAATGGCTATATTGGTGACTCCCGGGTAGGGGGGAGTGTCGCCGGAATGATGTGGCGACAGCGTGGGAGCTGTGGCGACAGCGGATGTATGCGGGATGGTGAGAGCATGCTGACATGGCATTTTGGCTGAGGTGGCACTTCATTGCAATGTGTGTGGTACCTAGGCTATGATTGGTGAGAAATCTGTGGTTGGGGGCAGCTATCTCCAGGTACATTGTTCCCTTACCTTATCTTCCCTCTCAATCTCTTCTTACTGTGAGGAAGTGAGTCCAGCCTTGAGTGTCCTCTTTTGACAAAGGAGTCTTGAGGGCTCTACCTTGAGAGTTGACATTCTTCCTGGTGGTGCATCTAAAAGGAGAGGGCGGTGCCTCTGAAGGGCCCTGGTCGAAGCATGGGTCACGGTCATCATGCCAACCCATGGGAGTAGAGCACGCATGCTTTGCTGCTTTGTCCCTTAAGCTCTTGCTGCGCTGCAGAGGGAACATGGACTGACCAGTCCTATGCGAGATGTATTCCGTAACGTCTATAAAGGACATCTGGCTGGGATCTTATATCTCACTGTGATTGTTATCCTGTCTGCGACGTTAAATAATTCCTGAGGACTTGGGGGCTGTCCTTAAATTGGCTCTTGATCAGCCAGATCAATCGGATGGAATGTTCATTGCACACGACGGGCAGAATTGGTCATAAGCGGGTTCCTGGGCACAGGGTTGGGCCGTCGTACACACGACAGACACTACTGCTTGATGATGCAAGTCAGGATCGTTGTATACAGGGGAAGGGAAGGTTCCAATTGGTCCTCGTACACAAACATAATTATTCCCATTTCTGCATTCATCTGTGCACTTGATTTATTTTTGTTTTTTATTAGTTTTTTGGACAGACTGCTAACACCTTACAGACAGCATCAGACTAGAACTGTAATAGTCTGCCATAGCCAGTTCTATTCGACGCTGCTGTAAGAGAACTGATCAAAGTAGGAATATATCATTTGCTCAGTCTGTGTGAATGCCGTCGACACCACTTGATCGGTAGCCTGGTTGACTTGCCAAACATTTATTTATTTTATTATATTTTTCAAATCGGTCAGACACATGCTGTGGTAGGCTCCAGCAAGAGCATTAGTGCAGATAGTGATCTGCCTAGCTGATGAGCGGTACAAATAGTGGGGAAGAGACAACGCACTATAGGAGGCAAGCACGGTGGGATACACGAAGAGTTCCAGTAGTGTTTCAGGTTCTGCTACCAGGGCAAGAGAGACTGTTCCGGGCCGAAGCAGGGGCCCAATGTTTGCAGACAGCTAGGGAGGCAGCAGCAGCTGCGGAGCATGTTTTAGCGGAAGCAGCAGCTAGTGCTGAAGCTATGGCAGCTCCTTCAGTGACCTCTCTAGGTCAGCCGACATCAGTAAACTTTCACTATGTCCTTTGTCTCATCCAATGGGACTAGTGTAGGACCATCCATCAGTCAGATGGCAGGCTCACAATACAGCCAGCCACCTCAGCCCACTAGGGAGGAGATATAACTCCAGCAAGTAGAGCTACTCCGCTTACGGCTAGAGAAGCAACTCAGAGATGCTACTGAAAGACAAGATCAGATTAGAAATCGTCAAGCTGGATTGGAGAGCGGAGGCAGACAAGGCTGCATTAGAAGGGTTAGATGATTCAACCTTGGACGATGTAGGAAAGATCATCCGGGCGAATCTCCTCAATATGAACGAGTATTTTGACAGCCGACTGGATGAAATCCAGTCAACCCCTTGACAAGATACTGACGGCTGTGTCGGGAAGGGGAGGACTACAACCCTCCATACCTAGCGGGCCAAATGTCTGGAAGCAGCCAGTCTATACATCACCGGTTCCTTTACCAGCGGTGACATGCCCATTCGTTCCCCAATTCGGTATCGTATCAGGTGGTACTTCAGCAACAGCAGCACAGACTGTTGCTTCTTCATCCTCAGGTCCAGCTGCTGCAGCTACGGGGCAGCAGTCGGTCCCACCAATGAGACCACAACAACCTTGGTACCCCAAGACCCCACTGAAACCACCTCCTACCTTATCGGGAGATAAGAAGGATGAGGCATTGGACACTTGGTTGAGGATGGTTCCAATGTGGGTAAGGGCGAAGAGGACGTTGCTAAATGAAAAGGTGATCATTGCCGCCTCATATCTTGAGGGATCGAAAGTGAGATAGCTAGATGGACTAGTGGCATTCGAAGGTTTCGGCCGGCGAATGAATGATTGGGCAAAGACCCACACTTTAAAGAGCTTCATGGCGTTGGTTGAAATGTGATGGCACAACCCTCAGCAGGCCACTGATGCGTTGTCCCGACTTGATACTAAAAAGGTACAAGTTCGTGAGTGAGCTCACCACTACTGTGGAGAAACTCGTAGTCGTCCCCGGTGTTCGCTATGATCCAAAGGTCTTGCTGGCCATGTAGCTGAGATGTCTTCCCACAGACATCAAGAACTTGATGGTTAGTGAGGCAAGCGTCGATTATCATACTTTTGACTCCTTTAGCAAGAAGGCCTTAGACTCAGAGGCTAAGCTAGGAGGAGCACAACAACCTGTTACGGATGGTAGGAAGAAGAAGCCCCCACAAGAATGAAAGAAGAAGGGTAGTCGGTTGATGATGGTTGATTCCGAAGGGAATCACACCGAGATCGATGATCTTTCTGATCTTGTGGAGGAAACAGAGATAGGCAGCGAGGAGAGTGCAAATGGTGGCAATCTCTCTGTCATAAGAGGAAAGCCGGAAGGTCGTGGCAAGGGCGGTCAACAAAAGAGTTAGGGGCAGGTCCAAAACTTAAACAAGACTCCGACTTGGGTAAGGGCTGGCCTGGATCAGGATGTGTGGAGGGACTGGTACTCGCGAGGAGCTTGCGTCAACTGCGACGAATATGGCCATCAACAGTTCAAATGCCGGAACGCGAAAGTCTCTCAAAAGATTCCTCCCAAAGGTGGTTTTGGGGGATCTTTCGCCCAGAGTGGTGCATCTACAAGTACCAATCAGGGAAACACATTGTTAGTAGAAGTTATAGCTGCTTCTACTCATGCTGAAGTGGTTGAAGTACCGTAGCCACTTCAAGAGTTGGCCGAAGCTATTGACTCGCTAGTCATCCTGCAGACACATCTAGACTGAACGACGTTGTGTTCGTTGGATGCGTTTGAAGCCTTAGAAGACTTAGAAACAAAGTGGTCGGCAAGGGACCCTCGTGAGTCTTGGGTGGCACTTTCTAGAGGTCCTAGAGGGGAGCGTTTCTTTGTGGAAGTCGGTGTAGGTGGCCGCAAGTGTGGTGCCTTCATAAGACATTGGCTCCCCGCAGAACTTCATAAGTCGCGACTGTGTTGAGAGACTGCGCCTAGGGGACGAGGTGCAACGCTTGGGTAAATCTGTAGCATCTATCTTGGCCAACAAAGAGCGCATGGTTGTAAATGACTACGTCAAGAACGTAGACTGCACCTTCTATTATGGA